TGTAATTTGTGTTACATTTGTGCATTACATTGCAGAGTTTTCCACCTATACCTTTTGTCCTTGTCAGCACTGACATTTTTGGCTCCTTTCCCTTTCTTTCTTCTGCTTTTTATCTAATAATTTACTGTAACAATGTTAAAAAAAAAAAGGGAAAAAAAAGCATGAAACAAATGCAATGACACATCAGAACAAATCCCAGAAGCAAAAAGAGTCATTGCAACCACCTCATCTCTTGGCCTTCCTTCCTTCTCCCTGTACACAGCCAAACTTCTGAAGCTTTTACTCCCTATCTTCTGTCGTCTTTGGATGGACCTTCATCCATGGAATCAATCATAGAATCACAGGATTTTAGGGGTTGGAATGGAGCTTAGAGATGATCCAGCCCCAGCCCCCTGCCCTGAGCAGGGACACCTCCCACCAGAGCAGGTTGCTCAAGGCTCTCTTCCCTACAGTGTGTTCTTACTCCCTTTTGCATCTGCCCCTGCAGCCACTTAGATTTGAAGTGTTCCTTCTCCCCCCCAGCCCCAGCTGATCATGACACTGCTCAGGGATGACTAAAGCAGCTCCCAGGAGCTTCATGTGACCATGTTGTCACTTGGGATTCATATTTTCTCCCTTGGTTCCTCTCAAACATTCCCAGGGGCTGCAGCTTACAGGCCTATTGCTCCCTCTAGAGCCCTTCAGTGCTGTTCTGGAGGACCACTGAAATGAGGAGATGTGAGCTCACTGCTCGTTCTGCTTGCAGCCTCTGGAAGTTGGGATGCAGTGGGAATGCAGCCTTCAAGTTCCTGTATTTCAGTGTAGAGCACAAGCATAACACTGTCAGATGCTTCAGTCTTGGAGGCTGCTCAGAGAATCATGGAATCACAGAGTGGTTTGAGTTGGGAAGAAGCTTAAAGATCATCTCATTCCAACCCCCTGCCATGAGCCGGGAACCTTCCGCTAGCCCAGATTGCTCACTTATTACATGAGGTTGATCTTTATCTTTTGCTGGTCCAGGAATTGCATTGCTGAGCATGTGCTGAAAGAAGAACATTGGGCTCTGTGGTTCCTCTTAAGTTCTTGTGGTGATGGGTCACTGGTTGGACTTGATGGTCTTGGAGGCCTTTTCCAACCTCAGTGATTCTATGATTCTGTGACTTCAGCTGTCAAATCTGCAGTGACCCTTGAGGGCACTTTTGATGGTCCAGTCTCTGTCAAACCCATCACCAGAGTGTCCTGGTATCATTCCAAAAGTCACTGCTGTATTTTGGCCAGAAATGCTCCTGTTTCCATGATTTTTCTGGAAAGGTTCTGACCTTAAAGCTCTTGTAAAAATAAACATTGCCAAGCAAGATTTCCTACTCTAGTTGTGAGGGAAGAGGGGAGGTTCAGGTTGGCCATCAGGAGGAGTTTTCCCATGGAAAGGGCTGTCAGGCACTGGAATGTGCTGCCCAGGGAGGTGGTGGAGTCACAATCCCTGGAGGTGTCCCAGGGACAACAGGACGTGGCACTCTGAGCTCTGTTCTAGTTGCCAAGGTGGTGATGGGTCACAGGTTGGACTTGATGATGTTGGACATCTTTTCCAACCTAAATGATTCTGTGCTGGACTGCCAAGACTACTAGGACATCATCAAATTGCCATCATAACTATTGGAGGCATCCAAGCAAGGCCAGAGGTCCAGAATTCCTTCTTGGGGTGGTTAGTCCCTCTTTGCAGTCACTACAGAGGTCAGTTCCTCACTTGGGCTGTGTGACTCAGTTTGGGACAGTCTATATGTGCCCACACACACGTGTGTCGGTGTATTATGCAAGTGTCCCTTCAAATAAAACCTGTCTCATGGCTGTACCATAACACATCAAAGCAAGGAGGAGATGTTTATGGCCCTAATGTCAGCCCCAAACAGGGAAATCCATAAAACAGAGATTTCACTAACAAAACCTCCAATCTAAATGCCCCATAAAATATGAATAATGCAGAAGCTCTGAATAAAAGTGATAAAACCACTTAATGAAGCTAAATGTAAATGAAACAGAATAAGCAGAGGGTAAAAAAAACCCAGCCAGAGTTATTGGTAAGCAGCAGTGAGTGACACATAGGTTTATGGTTGTATAGTCCTGTGGTTAACCAGTGTGTGGTTAATGAATAGTCTTCTGTCAACAAGAAGTCAGCTAAGTGTCTTCCTGCTTTGGCCAACTTGAGGCACAACCTCAGAGAGCTGTAGAGAACCTTGAGAGTTACCTCACCTCCCTCTTCTTCTTTATTCTGCTCTTGTAGACAGGTAACGTGGCCTCATTTGACTACAGTTGACTCGTGTTCTGTTGTGTTCCTGTGTTTCTTTTCTATGTGGACAATCCTCGAGAGCCTTTTCAAGAGAGAAATTAAGTGTGTGTTCTAGCAGATCAGCAGTGGTCAAAAAAAAAACCCCACCCCAAGATGGAAATATTGCACATTAGTAAAGAGAACAAAGTGTATTTTCAAAGCCTCTTCCAGTCTTAGTGATCTAAGTGTTGTATAAAGTGATACAAGGAAAGTATATTTTGGAATAAAGTGAGTTCTACAGATGCTTCTGTGAGGTTTGTTAAGTGTGATGGGTGATTAAGCTTTTTGGAGGGAAGTTGATCAGACTTTATCCCTGATGCCTTATAGAAAGATCTGTGGTGCTGGCAGAGAAAGATCAACAGAGCTGTAAAGCCTTAGCACATCATTTGGTACTTTAAGAATGTCAGGAGCACAGAAATCCTTGCTCAGAGGAGAAGTAGGACCTAAAGGCCCCGAGGCAGAGGTCTGGAATGACTTTTGCTCCTGTTACAATTGTCAGTCTGGATTTCAGCAAGGAATCTGACACCGTGTCCCTCAGCATCTTTCTAGACAAACTGGTTGCTCCTGGCTTGGCTAGGTGGTCTCTTCCATGGGTAAAGAACTGAATAATGACCCAGAGAGTTGTGGTGAATGGAGGTGCCAGTGCAGAGTCAGATTGGATATGAGGAGAAATGTTTTCCCCATGAGGGTGTTCAGCACTGGGATATTGCCCAGGGAGGTGGTGGAGTCACCAACCCTGGCGGTGTTTCAGAGGTGCCTGGATGTGGCACTGGAGGATCTGGTTTAGAGTTTAGGGGTTCCAGCAGTGACAGGTTGATGGCTGGACTGGATGATCTTAGCATTATCCTCCAACCCTGATGATTCTATGATTTATGATCTCCAGGACTGCTTTCTAGTGAGGCTCTGGAGGTGGGAAGCCACTGGCCTGGGATTTGCAAGGCTTCTCTTCCAACCTCAGGTCCATCAGGGCTGTGATTCAGGATTACAGGCAGATTTACTTCCAGCAGCCAAAGCGGTTCACATCAGTGGCCACAGACTTCCTGTGAGATCGTGGCCAAGGCACTTTATCTCCTCCTCGATAGAGTGGAGAGAATGTGTCCCTAACTCAGAGGGATGTGGTGAGGACAGTTCCAGGAACACTGTGTGAGCTCGCCCTGATGGCACTGCAGACCATTAGCACCAGAGCAGGAACTGCATTAAGAGAAGTATTGAATTGCTGGTGAATGCACATGGGGAAGGGGAGGAATATTCCTGCTAGAGACAGACATTTATATTTACAGTTATATTTAAATTTATCCTTATTTAGATAGCTAAATGAAGCCATTAAAAAAAAAGGGAAGTCTTGGAAGGGAAGAAACAGCACTCAGGAGTGCTGGAGCCAAGTGGTAAAACCAAGAAGGCAAAATGTGCCCAAAGGAGGAGAACCTCAATTTTCTGACAGCATTTTCCTAGTTATCTAACTTGGGGTGATGTCCCTTGATGTCTCCTGCTGATAACAAAGATTCCTGTCAGTATCTGAGTCCTGTGTGATGCTGAGATAACTGTGCTGACCCTGCTGACAGGCAATGTTTCTGTTGTTGCCTGCACCATCATCAATGCACAGATGAGCTCTTACCACAGGCACAGGATGTTCATTTTGCTTATCAAAGATGCAGAATGTTCATTTTGGGGTTTACAAAAAGCCAGAAGTAAATCCAGAGGTAGCAACACTTTCCCCAACACAGATCCATGGCATGAACATGAATTTGGAAAGGTCTTCACAGTTTTCTTGCTGAATAATAGAGAAACTAAGGGTAAAGCTTTGCTGTGCCTTTGGGAACTCCTTTAATTCTCTGTGGACAAACTGTAGGGAGTTGGGGTTTTTTTCCATTCCCTTGTTTCTTGGCATTGCAGCAGCAAATGATTCTTAAAGGGTTCACTATATGGAATTGATCTCCTGCTAACTTCAACCGCCAAGTGTGGGATTTTCTGACCTGCCTAAGGGATCTGAGCACCCAATTCTCTTGGACATCAGCAAATTCAGTTGATCAGATTCCTGTGGCAGTTTTGGAAGACTCGGCCACAATTCCTAAGCCTTCCTGAACATCCTTTAGACAGTACAGAGAACATACCAGCAGTTATGTCTATCAGATAGACTGTTAGGGGTAACCTCCTTTTTTTCTTCATAAACAGAGTGGAGATCATTTAAATATAAATTAATTCCTTTTTTTTTCCCCCTGAAAGCTTTGAGCAGTTGCCACAGAGGGAATGAATCCAGCACCAGGATTATACAATCTCTGAGGGCAGGTTGGATGGGGCTTGGAGCAGCCTGGGCTGGTGGAAGCTGTCCCTGCCCATGTCAGGGGGTGGGACTGGATGATCCTTAAGGTTCCTTCCAACCCAAACCTTCTGTGAGTCTATGATTCCATGAAAATGAAGTTTCAAGAGGCTCAGGTTGCCCAGAGCAGCTGTGGCTGCTCCATCCCTGGGAGTGTTGCAGGCCTGGTTGGATGGGGCTTGGAGCAACCTGGGCTGGTGCAAAATGTCTCTGCCCAGGGCAGGGGTTGTAACTAGATGATCTTTAAGGTCTCTTCAGCCCAAACCAGTCTGAGATTCTGTCTCTATCTTTATTGCCTTTCAAGGTGTTTGAGTGCTATCAGAAGTGAGGAGTTTTCTCAACACATATGCTCAGTAAACCTCTGTTTTCTTCCTGTTGCAGGGAAAAGCTTCACTCTGACCATCACAGTCTTCACAAACCCTCCCCAAGTAGCCACATATCACAGAGCCATCAAGATAACAGTGGATGGACCACGAGAACCCAGAAGTAAGTGACCTCAGAACACCATTTACAGAGGGATAAACTGATGGTTTAGGGGGATTCATCCCCAACCTGATGCAACACAGCAATACCCAAAGCATGTGGAGCAATGGAAATGTTTTGAGCCAAAGTTCTTCTACCAATGGCTTTAATCATCCCTTCCTGAAGGTTTCTTTTCCATCAGTGTCCACCTGATCCAGCCCATGACTTGCATTTCTAAAGTATCCAGGCAGGGCTGACTTGGATCATCCCCAAGAGCTGACAGAAGGGATGCTGGTAAAAGGTGGGCAGTGGATGTACCTTGTGCATCATTTCTGGCTTGTCTTGCCCTTCAGCTGGTAAGAGGATTTGAAAGCATTGGAAACCAATATGTCATTGATCTAAGGCTTCAAGCTGAGCCACCCTGAGAGTGCCTGAGAGGGAACACCTGGTTGTTGCCTCGTGGAGTTCCCTCTCATGTTGTCCCACAGCTCAGGAGCTCCAGTTGGCACAGCCAGGCAGTCTCCGCTAAAGGATGGAGCACAGGGAGGAGATGAAGGGGTTGATACCTCTGGGGAATATCCATGTCCTTCACACAGGAGGTCGTTTTGGTTAGGTGGTGAGGACAGGCTGTTTTGTCTGAGGGTGAAGTGAAGTGAGGGTGGAGCAGATGTGCAGGTAGAGATCATAGAATGGTTTGGTTTGGGACCTTAAAACTCATCTAGTTCCACCCCCTGCCCTGGGCGGGGACACCTCCCACCAGCCCAGGCTACTCCAAGCCCCATCCAACCTGGCCTAGAACACTCCCAGGGATGCAGCAGCCACAGCTGCTCTGGGCAACCTGGGCCAGTGCCTCAGCACCTCACAGGGAGCAATTCCTGCCCAATATCCACCTGTCCCTGCCCTCTGGCAGTGGGAAGCCATTCCCTGTGTCCTGTCCCTCCAGCCCTTGTCCCAAGTCCCTCTGCAGCTCTCCTGTAGCTCCTTCAGGCACTGAAGGCCACAATGAGGTCACCCCAAAGCTTCTCTTCTCCAGGCTGAATAACCCCAACTCTCTCAGCCTTTCCTCACAGCAGAGCTGCTCCATCCCTCTCATCCCCTTGGTGCCTCCTCTGGACTCTCTCCAACAGCTCCATGTCCTTGCTGTGCTGAGGACCCCAGAGCTTCTGCCTATTACCAGAGGCAATTTTTGGCCTCAGCCACTAGCCCAAATGAGACATTTTCATATTTTTATCAAAATGTAAATTGAGGTTTGTGGTTAGTTCCTTGCACTCCTCCCTCAGGCTTGGCACAAGTTCTGGCTGTGTCTGAAGTGGAATCATCCCAGGAGAACAAAGCAGCAGGACTCAAACACCCACTGGAGAGTGAGATTCACAGCTTGGGGCTGCTTAACTAGAAAAGAAATGTTTGAAACAACTAAAACAGCTTAGAAAACTCATGTTTTATTCTTGGGCCTTGACTTGCCTGAGTTGCCTCATGATTCATGTATTTAGTGGGAAAAATCTGACTTATGTTTTTAGGATTTGAGGACGGACTTTAAAACAAATTTTGCTGTCAGAGTAAGGTTTCTCAGTCAGTTTGGTTCACTGTTTGGTTTATTATATTTCATTTTAAATTGTGGTTGATTTTCCCCTGAATAATCTCCTCAGTGAACCAAGCAGCTGTTTACAAAGATATTTGCATATTCAAGTTCCAGATTTGCATATGCAATTCCCTGGGTTTGCTCACAGTTTGCAAACAACAAATAAGCCTCAGTTTTTTTGAATATGTGTCTGCTAGGAGGATAGGAAAGCAAATGATCCTGCAAGGCAGAGCTTCTGTCTGAAATCAATCCTGCAGTTGGTCTAATGGTTAATATTTAATGAGACTCTGCATTTGTAAAAGGGAAGGAGAGATATGATACAAACTGAAGCCACACAAGGCTCTTCCCCACTCAAATCTATGCAAAAGCTTCCTTGGAATGAAATTGCTTTGTCATAAGCAAAGCAGCTGCAGAGAGGAGGAAGATTTGGGCATGGCATGAGGTGAGGTCAGGAACTCCCAGTGGGAATGCTCAGCTCCATGGGGACACAGCATTGAATGGACTGGGGAATCGTGGAATGGTTTGGGTTGGAAGACACGTTAAAGCTCATCCAGTCCCACCCCTTGCCATGGGCAGGGACACCTTCCACCAGCCCAGGCTGCTCCAAGCCCCATCCAGCCTGGCCTGGAACACTCCCAGGGGTGGAGCAGCCACAGCTGCTCTGGGCAACCTGTGCCAGTGCCTCAGCACCTCACAGGGAGGAATTTCTTCCTAACATCTAACCTACCCCTGCTTTTTCTCAGTTTAAAACCATTTCCCCTCATGCTGTTGCTATCTGTCCCTATAAAAGTCCCTTTCCTTCCTTTTTGTAAACCCCTTCAGGGACTGGAATGACCTCTAAGGTCTCCCTGGAACTTCTCCATGCTGAACATCCCCAGTTCTCCCAGCCTGGCACATTATGCTCTCTACATGTTTAAGTGACTTCAAACTCCTTGAGTTTGCCTGCTCACAAGTTTCCCAATCACAAAGGCTGTTAGGATGAGTCCAGTGCCTCTTCTCCATCTCAGTTTGACTGAGGTGGGAATTGGACTGACTCATAGACAAGGTTTGTGGTTAGATGGATCAAACTCTGCCTGTTGTGTACAAAAGGGATTGATAGTCACCTTGTACTGAGACCAGAATCCCACACAGACTGCTGGATTAGGGGGTTTCTAGTCTCAGGAATGGACATTTGGGATGTTGATGCTCATAGATCCATGAGTCACTCACTCACTTGAGCTGAAGGATTTACAGGAAGATCAAGAGGTGTTTTCTAAGATGTCCTGATCCAAGGAATGGGAATACAGTGAGATACTGCTGTTTTACACAGACCTAGAAAATGTGCTGAAGCCCAAAACCAACAGCAGTAACAGGTTTTGATTCATTTACTCTATGTTTATAACAGTTCTCAGAGTGCCCGAATCCCTGTCTGTGCCTGCATTCTCCATGGAAAGTGCTGGAGGTTGAGAATAGATATTAGAAATAATTTTTCCCTGCCAGAGTGTTCAGCCCTTGGAATGAGTTGCCCAGGGAGGTGGTGGAGTCACTGTCTCTGGGAGAGTCCCAGAGGCATCTGGATGTGGCCCCTGGGGACATGGTTTAGGGGTGATGCTGGTGGGACTGGATGAGCTTGGAGGTCTCTTCCAGGGTTGGTGATTCTGTGATTCTGAGTCAGAATTTCACACCAGGATGATCAGTAGTGAATTTTACTGGACATAGAAATACCTTTCTAAAAAAAACCCCAACCAACTCTAAAGTTCCTTAACTTAAAAAAATAACAGAAACATTTCCTTTTGCCTTCAGAAAATGTTGGATCAAGCACATTCCTGAGCTAGAGTTAGACAGGCACTTGAACTGGGGCTTTTTAATGCCAAAGGAAAACCTCTTCCACTAGGCATCCTTGGGGAAAAGACTTCAAAAATAATCCAGCCATTTTTGGAGAAGACTCAATCCAAAGTCTTCCAAAGCAAATATGCAAAGCACAGACATTCTGGCTCATTGGGATGTGTGGAGATGTCACATTAAGTGATGGTAACACAGTATCATAGACCATAGAATCATGGAATGGTTTGGGTTGGAAGGACCTTGAAGATCATATCATCCCACCCCCTGCCATGGGCAGGGACACCTCCCACCAGCCCAGGCTGCTCCAAGCCCCATCCAGCCTGGCCTGGGACACTCCCAGGGATGGAGCAGCCACAGCTGCTCTGGGCAACCTGTGCCAGTGCCTCAGCAATTCCTGCCCAATATCCATTCTAACCCTGCTCTCTGTCAGTGTGAAGCTATTGCCCCTTGTCCTGTCACTCCAGACCTTTGTGCAAGGCCCTGTCCATGTGCCAACTTCACTCTGCACAAAGACCTGTAGACATCATGTTTTTGCACATCCCATCACACATTTGGTCCTGGTTGCTGTGCCAGTAAGACCTTTGCCCAACAGCATATTTGCATGTGTAAATCCAAAGCCTGGAGAAGAGGCTCAGGGGTGACCTCCTGGCTCTCTGCAACTCCCTGCCATCCAGACCGCAAGGCCCTGTCCATGTGCCAACTTCACTCTGCACAAAGACCTGTAGACATCATGTTTTTGCACATCCCATCACACATTTGGTCCTGGTTGCTGTGCCAGTAAGACCTTTGCCCAACAGCATATTTGCATGTGTAAATCCAAAGCCTGGAGAAGAGGCTCAGGGGTGCAAGGCCCTGTCCATGTGCCAACTTCACTCTGCACAAAGACCTGTAGACATCATGTTTTTGCACATCCCATCACACATTTGGTCCTGGTTGCTGTGCCAGTAAGACCTTTGCCCAACAGCATATTTGCATGTGTAAATCCAAAGCCTGGAGAAGAGGCTCAGGGGTGACCTCCTGGCTCTCTGCAACTCCCTGCCAGGGCTGGAGGAGGTGGGGGATGTGTGTCCTGCCATGGCTGCAGGGAGAGGACTAGAGGGAATGGCCTTGAGCTGAGCCAGGGCAGAGTCAGATTGGATGTGAAGAGAAATGTTTTCCCCATGAGGGTGTTCAGCACTGGGATATTGCCCAGGGAAGTGGTGGAGTCACCATCCCTGGAGGTGTTTCAGAGGTGTCTGGATGTGGCACTGGAGGATCTGGTTTAGAGTTTAGTGGTTCCAGCAGTGACAGGTTAATGGTTGGACTTGATGCTCTTAGAGGTCTCCTCTAACCTTGATGATTCTAAGACATTAGCATTTATAACTGTGATAATTTCTCATGTGAGGACTTACCCTATTGTCCTTTATTTTGCCACTGAATTTCTGTCTGTGCCTGTCCAGACAACACTTATCAAATTGTCCTATAAAGAGCCAAGGTACTTAGGAATTTTGCTCTTCCTCCTCTGCTTTCATTATGTATTTTCAAACTCCCTTTTGAACTCAGCATTTTTATCTTCTAGTTGTGAATAAATGCTTATTTTCAAACTGATTTTGTATGAAAAGAAATCCTTCTGCACTGTCAG